CCTTAGGCAATCAGGCTGCAAGTACTACATGTATGTTGTGTTTTCATACAACTTGTACTGAATCCATATCATCCATCTGACATGCTTAAGTAAAGACTGATTTATTGTTCTTGCTCATTGCTGATATAGTCTAGTTCACTTGCAAAAAAAAAAAAAAAAGGAAAGAAAAAGATAATCTGAAACATAATGAGTCCAAAATCATCTGTGATTTCATATTCCAGCTAAAGAATAACGTATCTGAATTTTCCTGTTTCTGATTCACCACTGATAAGTAACTTGATTTTGTCTTTCTAGGGAAAGACAAAACCATGTTCAGTTAAATCAAGTCTTCTATTGAGCATACTTACGGTTCTTTGGATGGAAGGGCTACTGCCAGTCATATGGTCTTTCACAACCTCAAGCATAGTAACTGTACTTAAAAATAACGTCACCATTTGTGACACATGGGGACAATACTACTGCTTTTGCTGTTTTTTTGTTTGTTTGTTTGTTTTTTTTAATGCAACCAACTGTTGCAAAGTTTGTCTCACTTTTTAAGTCGAAGAATTTTTATCCTGGCTGAATTGCTCCTTATGATGGTACAATTATGGCATGACTTATTGCTGCATGGCTCCAGCACTTTTTATTAAAGTACAAAATTTCTCAAGTGAATACTCCAGACTTAAAACACCATAAAACTCCTCCCTCCCAAAACACACAGCCAACTGCCTCTTATTCTCGCTTTTTCTTAAGTTACACGTTCACAGAGGCCTGATTGGTTTAATCACTGTTATCACTGTTAGTTCATGAACTGGCTTGACGGTAGAGCTCAGAGGGCTTTAGTGAATGAGGCTACGTCTGGCTGGTGGACGGTAAGCAGCAGTGGTCCTCAGGACTCAAGTCTAAAGCCAGTTCTGTTCAACATTTTTAACAGTTCTGTGGATGCACAACCGGAGTGTATCCCTTGCAAGCTTGCTGATGACACTAAACAGGGAGGTGCTGCTGACTCCCTGGAGGGACAGGAGGCCTTGCAGAGGGATGCAGACAGACTGGAGCAGTGGAGCACTGGGTGATTAACAACGGCATGCAGTTCAACAAGGGAAAATGATGGGTGCTGCCCTGCGATGGAGCAGTGCCGGGCACAGGCACAGACTGGGAGGAGAGTGGCTGGGGAGCAGCCCTGCAGAAAGGGGCCTGGGGGTGCTGGTGGCAGCAGACTCAGTGCGAGCCTGCAGCGTGCCCTGGCAGCCTGGAGGGCAAACCCCACTGAGGGGTGCGTTAAACACAGCACAGCCAGATGGTCCAGACAGGTGATCCTCCTGCTGTACTGAGCTTTGGTGTGGCCTCACCTTGAATACTGTGTGCAGTGCTGGTTTCTGCAGTACAAAAGGGACGTTAAAGCCCTTGAAAGCGTGCAGAGGAGGGCAACAAAGCTGGCAGAGGCTTGGAGGGCATGGTCTGTGAGAAGTGGCTGAGGACACTTGGCTTGTCTGGTCTGAAGAAAAGGTGACCAAGAAGCAATCTCACTGTGCTCTGCAGCTTTCTGAGGAGGGGAGGCAGTGAGGGCGGTGTTCTGCTCCCTGGTGAGCATTGGGAGGACAGGAGAGAACAGAACACAGCTGCACCAGAGGAGGTTCAGATGGGGCATAAGAAAACATTTCTGTACTGTGAGGGTGGTCAGACTTCTTAGGTGGGTGGTTGGTGCCCCAAGCCTGCCAGTGTTCAAGGGACATTTCAATAATTCCCTCAATAACATGCTTTAACTTTTGGGCACCCCTCAAGAGGTCAGGCAGCTGGAGCTGATGATCCTTAATGGTCCCTTCTAAATTAACTATTCTGTTCTGTTCTGTTCTATTCTATTCTATTCTATTCTATTCTATTCTATTCTATTCTATTCTATTCTATTCTATTCTATTCTATTCTATTCTATTCTATTCTATTCTATTCTATTCTATTCTAGTGTTTAGTTTCAAAAAACAGAGATCGTTTGGCTTTGTTCTAAGTCAAACACTTCCCAGAGAAAGCTGTCCACAGCAGAGTGCTAATGCCAATATATAAGTCGTTTACATTGTAACATCTCTTATTTCCTTTTGCTACCCCCTTGTGGAGCCTGATGAGCGAAGAAAAATAAAAATCCAAACTCCAACCCTGAGTGTATTTGAATGTTAGGGAAGACAGATCATTGTTTCTGGTAGTATTGTGTTGCTTATTTATCACAAACATTCAGATTAAATGTTAGAATGAGGTTGCTCAAGGAAATCCTGAAATGTATATAAATTTTATGATGAACAATTTTTTTGCCTTAAGAATCATAGTAAACTGTGCAACAGTCTCAATACCCAAAATCTATAAGACCATCCTTAACAATGCTCATGCATGTATTCAGTAAACACTGAGTATACTACTTAACCCAGGATCAAAATGGTGACTTATTTTTTTCTAGATTCTAAAAAAAAAATAAAAAAATCCTTCAGTAACTTAATTAGTTTGTTATTATACTTTCCTGCTTTATTAGTGCCTTGTGTCTTAAGATTGAGAACATGCACAAGCAAATGATTTTTTATGTCTGACAAAGTGAAAGGTGTTGGGATTGAGGAAAACGATGAAGTGCTGGAGATACAAGCTACAGTTATACCACATAAACATTAATTTTCAAATTTTCAGCTGTTCTAGAAACATAGAACCATAGAATGGTTTGAATTGGAAGAGACCTTAAAGGTCATACAATGATAGAATCATTTAGGTTGGAAACAACCTCTAAAATCATCAAGTCCAACTGTTAACTTAGCAGTGACAAGTCTCCCATTAAACTACATCCCTAAGCACCACATCTATGGCTGGCTTTCTGGGCTGCAAGCACACACTGTTGGCTCATGTCGATCTTCTCAAGAACCAACTCCTCCCCTTCCTTCTCATCAGGGCTGCTCTCAATCCATTCTCCTTATTCTCTCTTTATCTGTGTTTGGGATTGTCCCAACCCAGATGCAGGACCTTGCTCTTGGCCTTGTTGAACGTGAGGTTCACACAGTTTCACTTAGCAGCCCAGGCTCTGAAGGCAAAGCACAGCAAAGAGGAGTTGGTTCAGTAAGACAAGTTTCACTGATTCTCAAAAGGCAAATAAAGTCACTTTTAGGAGTGACCTCAAGAACAGAAAGACGCTAGACTGTATGCTCCTCTCCAGACTGCATCCTACATGTACAAGGTGACAGGGGCATAACCTTAGCTATGGGCCACGGGTACAAGCTGGAACACAGGAGGTTCCACTTAAATATGAGAAGAAACTTCTTCACGATGAGGGTGACAGAGCACTGAACAGTCTGTCCAGAGGGGTGGTGAAGTCTCCTCCCCTGTAGACTTTCAAAACCCACCTGGACGTGTTCCTGTGTGACCTGATGTACATGTAGGTGTTCCTGCTCTGGCAGGTGGATTGGACCAGATAATCTTTCAAGATCCCTTCCAATCCCTAACATTCTGTGATTCTGCGATATAGTTACCATCAATTTTTACATGTTATCAGGAATTTTACAGTGGTCCTACCCATGAAGCATTTTACTATAGCATCATCCAGCTCAAACATTGTGAGGAAGAGGAAGAAACATGAAACTTATCAAAGTTTTACACCAGTATGGTGGTACTTATTTCACCAGTACCTAGAAAATGAAAAGCAATTCTCTATGGGAATCTAAATAATAATTGTACCTAAGTGTATTCTTTCCATAATCTGCTGTTTGGCAAAATTCCTCCCATAGGCTCAAGCATGAGGCAGAAAATTGACAATGTACAATTCGTACTTGCCTATTTAGCAGTGGTTTTAGGCACTAATAAAAATGTCATCACCATCAGTGATGCGTTTTTCTGACAACTGAAAGACACTGAATACTCCTGTATCCCTCTCTAGTTTTTGGACTGGGAGATGAGGAGAGGGAGAGAACAGCACTGAGAAGAGTTTCACTTAAAAGGGAATAAATAAGAAGCTGGAGATTATTTGCAGTTAGCAGATAACAGAACACACTTTCAATGTAAAATAAAAACGTGAAAGACAGTTTTCAGATGATTTATAAAAACAGCACGGCAGGCTTCTGTTATCTCAGAAGAGTGATGGAAGATTCACTCAGAACACAAATCCAGAGCGTCAGCCTGTTTTCCTCATTCCTGACTCAAGCCAGAGCCTTTCCAAGCCATGTTTAAGGAGGAATTTCAGAACTTTCCGCTTCATGCACAGGCGGCGCCATGGCTCTCGGTGCTAGCGAGGTCGGAAACCCCCGGGGCGCAGCGCTGCCCGCGGGGCCAGCCGCGTGTCCGTGGTCGTTCATTTACAAACGAGGAAGGAAAAACAACACAAAGGTCGCCGGGCCCGCGCCGCCCCGCCGCCCGCTGAGGATGCCGCGGGCCCGCCCCCGGTGTGGAGCGGGAGGCGGCGGAGCGGGAGGCGGCGGAACTCGGGGCCGGCAGCGACTCGCCACGGAGGCACGGGGCGAGAAGGGATAAGCGGCTCTCTCCGGCCCGCTCCCGGCTCCCCGCTGCCGCCCCGCCTCCTCACAGCCCCCAGGGAAAAGTTAGAGCCGAGGGCTCGCTAGCAGGCGGCCAGGCGGCCGCCGGACGCCGCTTCCGCCCCGCATTGGCACCGCGCCATCTTCTCTCACCTTCACGGAGCTGCTAGCGGCCATCTTAGCGCGATGAGAGAGGGGGAGAGCGGGGGCGGTGCCGCTCCCACCCCAGTTCTACGCAGCGCATTGATTAAGGAGGCACTGGGGAGGCACTGGGGAGGCACTGGGGAGGCACTGGGGAGGCACTGGGGAGGCACTGGGGAGGCACTGGGGAGGCACTGGGGAGGCAAGGACAATCCCCAGACAAGGACTGTATATCTCGAAACACGACACTGCAACTCATGATAAGGAAGCGGCAGACGGACAGAGAAACAAATGTAAGGACTATAAATCTCAAAACTGGACATTGAAATTCATTATAAAGATAGAACAAATGGAAGAATTAGCAACAACCAGCGCTTGCAATTAAGAAACATGCCAGCTCAGCAGATTCCTGACCAAAGGTGAAAAGTACACTGTGAGGAAGACTCGGGGTCTTCCTCCCAAAGACCCCTGCCCACGTCCCAAAGACCCCTGCCCACAATTCTTGGGAGGCTCTACGAAGGCCCAAGGTGCCGAAAAGCCAACTAGCATGAGAAGCGAGGGAAGGCGGGGATAGGTAAGGAATATGTATAGGCACTTGTAGAATATTGATAGGTTGATTGTATAAATTCAAGACTGCTTTCCGCTTTGGGTATGCACGATAGGTGGAGAGATCCCCCGTGAATCCAGCGCTGCAATACAGAAAATACCACTTAAAGGAATTTCGGCTTCGATCTTTGAATCAACATCACATCTAAGTGTTAAAGACAAAGCCGGAGTCCTACACTTAGCCGGGTCCCATCGTCAGGATGTCTCCGGCGCGTATGTCAAACATCGCTATCGTCTGGTCTGCGAGCTGTCAATTCTTGTTACATCCTCAAAGTGCAAGCTAAGTAAATGTTTTAGTGCATTTTTATAAGCTTTTACCGTAGAGGCACTTTTATTAAGTCAATGAGGACGGTGGTATGTCTAAACGCCTCCTGAAGTGACAGCCAGGAGGCTTTCTTTTTAGTACTGCTAGTTGGTGTGTTGAAATGTGACTTTCCAGAAATCATAACTGCATGCACATGGAGAAATGCTGAATCGGTTAGTATGTACATACTTTTTTTTTTCTTTCTTTTATTTTTTAAGCTTTGCTACAGTTCCAGAAAAGAGTATGCAACACATGTTGTGGTATAATAAAATAGTTTGCTACGAGATGCGACGTGTTGACTTGGTCTTTTTGAAAATTACCTTTCAGCCTGTCCATATTTCACCCAGATCACACACACCATGTTCCTGGAGACGCTCCGGTGTCTTTGACTTCCCCCTAAAGTTCCTCATTTTGTCAACAGGGGTTGTGAGACAACTGCACCATGAAATCCCTGGAGCATCCTGTAAAGCAGTGGCAAGAAACAGAAAATACTAGTTAGTCCTGGGTTTCCAGAAATGATAAAACAAGACCAAAAATTCCATCCGAAACTTATTCCATTCCTAATTTATACAATTTGGTACTGAGTTGAAGAGATTTGTTTTCAGTTAAAAAGCAAATAATTTAAAGGCTCAATATGGTTTAAATTGAGTGTGGTCTTTTTAATATTAGTAAATGATTCTGAAAACAAAGTTGAGCACGTTTTTGAAAAACAACAAAAACAAAAGGGGGGTTTCTTTCCGAGGTACATATATATAGAAAGTATATGTGTTTAGCTCTCCAAGCTAAATATAGCTTTAAGCAAGTTATTGCATATATATAGAAAGTACATGAGTTTAGCTCTCCAAGCTAAATATAGCTTTGAGTTAAATGCTGTATCATTCTATCTTAATAATGCCTATTTTCATATTTATGGTATTCTTCTTGTTGCCACAAATCTGTACATGTAAGAACATTCCAACAAAACATGTAACCTTCCATCTTGAGAAATATCAATTGTTTTGATGTGTTTATGCATTTTTTAACATAGCTATAAATATAAGGCATAAGGCTTTCAAAAATAGACGGTATCTTGTTAATTAGAAGTACTTAATTTTAAAAGCATGTGTCCCGTTCTTTGTTTAAAACAACTTTATCAGAGATGACTCAGCCATCCAGACATACCATTCTCACATGCCAAGAAGCACTACTTCTTTCATAATAAATGCTACATATCTGCTAATAAGTGCAAACTCAGGATGTATGTCCTGCATTGTATCATAGCTGAGAAATCTGCTGAGACCTGGGAGGCAGTTCACTGGATTGCAGAAGGATATTCCTTATAACTCAGGCTAGTGCTGAACTTGTGTCAGCTGGAGTTCATTCATGTAAGGTTTAAACATTTTATGTGTCTTCAGTGCATTACAGATCTTCATACACAGCTGAGATGTTTGTCTCAGATGCTGAAAACTTTTCACCACAGTTCAAAACATGAGATTGTATTTATGAGGAATGGACTTGGTAAAATCACAATTTAACAAAGGCAGAAAGAAGGAGATGGGTGAAGATAAACGGTAAGTTCTTTGGTGCAGCACAGTACAGTTATAGTACCGTAGTAAGACAAATTTATTGTATTTTTCTCACTGTAGTTTGGTGTTTCAGTTGAAGCTATGTGTTCTACTTTACTCTCACTGCACAGAATATTTTAGTGAATAATTTTTGGCAATTCCTCCTGTTTGATTTTAGTACGTTTTTCCTATGTTGAATTGCTTACAAAAAGTTGTTGTGCAGTACTCTTTTTTTTTTTACTACAAATATACGCAATCCACTTGCTTTTCTGCTGTATTTTTTTTCTACTTCTTTTTGAATATGAAAGCTCACTGTTTAAATAGTATGAAAGGAATAAAATATAAAAGTATAGACCCTCAAAGGGTCATCAAGCCCAACTCCTGACTCCACACTGGACCACCCAAAAATCAGGCAGTATATCTACGAGCATTGTTCAAAGGTTTCTCTGACAGGCCTGGTGCTGTGACCACTTCCCGGGGAGCCTGTTCCTGTGCCTGAAGTTTATACCGTAGCTGTCCACAGAGGTACCTAGCTTTCCAGTTTCATACTTGTGGAGTGTCAGTACTGTGTGTTTTTTACAGGAGTGTTACTCTGTATAAAGTTGTGTATATGACTTGTGTAAATCTGGACAGCAAGCAGAAAACTCTGCTCATGCTGAATTGGTAATGACTTGGATACTTAAGAAATTTTGAGCTGGAAGCATAAAAAAAGCTTTATTACATGTAGTTTTTGAAGATGTCCAGTCTGAGCCACTGTTTTTGGCACATTCCAAACAGCCCATATTCAGAGTCATAAAAAGGATATGAAACACTGTATTCTTCCAGACAAACTAAGAACTTTTACAGATTTAATACAGTGCTTATTTCAATTTAGCAGTTGACAGAACCAGCAAGGAAAATGTGTGTGTGTGTATAATATGTAAATGAAATTTTGCACTTCTTCAAGTCAACTCACTGTAAACCAGCAGCTACATCACAACAGTAATGCATTCCCATTACTTGAACCAGCTAATAACCTAGGCTGAATTCGGCAGCAAGCAAATGAAGCCGGCAACCCCTAATAATCTTTGTGCACGAAGGCCAAACGAAGGCTCAGGAGTGAGTATAGGCCGGTGATCCGTTCGGTTGGGGTTGGGTATCCTGGAGCGTGTCGCTGTGAGACGTCCAGCAGGACAAAGCGAGTGCGGACCCCTCGGTAGTGCGGTTCCCACATCCCGCGAGGGACTGGGCCATGAAAAGGGGGAAGCGATTCGTGCGTGTGTGTGTGAAGGCGCTCCGGAAGATGGGACAGAAGAAGAGTAAGCCTTCTGGTCCCATGGGTGGGGTAACATCTGATGTTAGGTTACCCCGGGATTAATGATTAAAAATTGGGAGGGTTCCCCTTTTAGGCAGGGAAGGAATAAAGTAAAAATGATACATTCTTGTGTTGAAGTTTGGCGTGGTAAACAGATTCGAGGAGACCACCTTTACTGGCCTGTATTTGGGTCCTTTGAAGATTGGGTTTGCCAGGCCCTAAATATTTATGTAAACTCAAAGGAATCTTTTAGTTTGGAAGAAAGTGAATATACACATTTGTGGATCAGCTCGGAAACTCGAGCCAATTTATATCCTCTAAAAGAGAAAGGAGGGGATGGGAGGCACGAGAAAAACTGAGAATTAGAGATCCCAGCCCCACTGCCTCCCTATATTCCACCACCCCCACCTGCAGCCCCTCCGACTCCCGGGCTTTTTAATCTGCAACCCAAGGGAGATGCCAATAACAACTCTGACTCTAGCACTCAGGGACCAGTGACTAGGAATATGTGGCCGTCCCCATTAACTCCGGGGACGTCCGAGATTTTAAGAAAGAGACAGGAGGAGGGTAAGCGAGTTTTAATGGCAACTGGCATAATGTTTCCAGCTGCTGAGGAATAATTCTAACTGGAATAATAATTGTACATTGTATATTGTATATATAAAAGCCCAGGCATTTTTGTTAAAGTGTTCTTTTATACCTATGTTAATATGTAAATATGTAAATATAAGAACTGCCATTGAGGTGTATGTCTAAGGGAACAAAATTTGCCCAGGCATATTATCAGCTCATCAGGTTTAAATGTCCCCAGTGTAATTGTCTACAGGCAGTTAATTTACAGTGGTCTGATTTTACTTGTGTATCTATATATTGTGGATTTTGGAGGGATTGGGATTGACTAGTAAAGAGCTTCTAGGAAAACGGTGGCATATTAACCACTGTAGATTACAATAGGAAAAGTTCAAAGCAAAGAAATCCCGAGGAAAAGCCCCCTAGGATGTATACTAACACATTGGAGGGATATAGTAGGGTGAGAGGGTACAGAGAGTAAAAGAACCCTTATCAAATATTGTAATCAATGGTGGCCACTTTATAAACTAGAGGATGGAGCGGAGTGGCCCCTAAACGGAACTACTAATTATAACACCATATTACAGTCAATGTTGTTTTGTGGAAAGAAGGAAAACAGGATGAAATGTTGTATATTGATGTTGTTTCAGCATCTTGGAGGGAAAAGGTACGGAATTAAGTTGGCCCCTGACTGAGCCTTTGATGTCGGCATTAGAAAAGTAAAGGCTAGAGAAAGATAAAGGAAGTGTTAAAAGGTTTGTTGAAAGTGTTAAAGGTATTCGAAGTTGAATGAGCAGGGAAAGGGGATGTAGGCATTATCTAAGTAACAGTCTAGAAGTTTTGGTATATTTGCATATTTGCTGTGGTGTTTGTTCAGTTTCCCAAGCATCGGGGAGGGGGGAACAGCCTGCTCCACCAGGGGCCTCTCCAGCGGCCGCAGGGGGGCTTCGGCTCCAGCGCCTGGAGCGCCTCCTCCCCCTCCTTCTGCACTGACTTTGGTGTCTGCGGGGGGGGGGTTCTCGCTCTCCCAACTGCTGCTGAGCAGCAGGTTTTTGTTTGTTCCTTTGTTTGTTTGTTTCGTGGATGTGCTCTCACAGAGGCACGGACTGTGTTGCTATGGCTTGGCTCTGGGCAGCAGTGGGCCCCTTTAGGGCCAGATGAAATTGTCCCTTATCTACCACGGGGAGGTTTCTGTGTTTTTGTTTTTGTTTTATTTTTTTTTTCACGGGGGCTGCCACTGCAGTTTCCCACCCCCACATCGCTCACACCCCTCTGAACCTTGCCATCCAACCCAATACACTGGGGCAGCTAAGTCATTACTGATTTGTAAAGTATCAGGGATTAAATTAACTAATGAAACCCTAAATGTGATGGGGGTAGAAGGGACTGGGATAACAGTGCCACTTTTGGGGGATACCAAGCTGAGACTAGGGGATAAAATGATCACTGGGCAATTATTGTATGTATCCAAGGCAGAGACTAACTTGTTGGGAAAGGATTTGATGATTAAATTGGGCATTCAAATAGTAAATTGTTAGACTGGAATAACAGTGTTATTAACGGAGTGCTCTCTGGCCCTGAGAGCAAACATACATGTATATTCACCTCTGACTGGAAAGACCCTGAAATGGGGGCGGAAGCAACAATATAGGTGGACAATTTTACCTCAGGGGTTTACAGGGCCACCTATCTATTTGGGTAAATTCTAAAAAAGATTTTGGAGCAATTACAACCTCCCAAGGAGGTATTAATGTTACAAATATGTGGATCATTTTAAGGAAAATTGATACTCCCTGATGGGAGAGAAATGCTGAATAAAGGGATAATGAGGCAAATATTAACTGTTTTACATCAGAAAAGTCATTGGGAGGTGCAAGCAATGTGTGATGTTGTTCTAAGAAAGCATGTCTGTGTAGTAATATATACTTTAGGGAAGCACACATGCAGAGGATGTACTACTATATGTCAAAGGGTAAATAAAAAGGTCTCCTGTAACCTATCTAGAGGGGGACGGGAGCCAGGGCTTTGACCTTTCCAAAGTATATAGGTAGACTTTACTGAGTTACTTGTTTGCCCTAATTGACCACGTGACTGGATGGGTGTAAAGCTTTACTGCAAGGATTAAAGCAGGCCTTAGAGATTGAGTGGGATTTTCACAGCCCCTGGCATCCCTCCTCTTCTGGAAAGGTAGAGCGAATGAATGGTGAAATTAAGAAACAACTAACAAAACTTGTGCTGGAAACTAAGTACTTCTGGAAACTTCTTGGGTAAAATGCTTACCCCTTGCACTGTTAAACATATGGACACAGCCCAGAACTGATGTAGGAATTTCTCCTTTTGAAATGCTATATGGTATACCCTATGACTTGGAATTGCCACTTGATCACCCTCAATTCTAATTAAGACTTGGAAAGAGACTTCTTTAACACCACGATGGGGAAGGCCCCTATGTTGTTTTGCTTACTACAGAAACAGTTGTCTGGACTGCGGAGAAAGGATGGACACATGCCAGCCGTGTTAAAGGACCCATCTGTGACGAGAAGTGGGAGATTGCTCCAGGAAACAAAGACCTGAAGCTCACTTTGTGACGAACCTGATAAGTACTGTGGATTAAGGTAGAGGCTCTCCCCTGAAGAACACTACTGCTGCCGAGAACTAAAACCTCGTAGTTGGCTGCAACCCAACTGACGAGTGAGGCAGAGGAGTGAGTAAGTGGGGAAAGAAATGGGCCTCAGCCATTCCTATCGGTATTTGGGGGTTCTCGCAGTGATTTCATCCTGCATAGCGACTCAACACCACCCCCACCAACCTTTTAAATGGACCTTAAGTCGATTTGAAGATCAACAGGTTATTGCAACCCAGGTAACATCGGGGGGGGGGGAGGCAAGTTTTACTTCTACACTATGTCAGCTGATCTCGAGGCCCCGATGCTGCAAATATATGGGATTTTATTTCTGCTCAAGTTCTAACCCGGGAAGGGGGTACTATAAATGCCTGAACGTGTATTATTGTGCATACCGGGGGTGTGAAACCATTGCTACAGACTGGACACTCGGGGCTGGTCGGGATAAATTCTTACAAGTGGGATATGGGCTGCAAGGTTGTAACTGACAATTGGATCCCCGTTACAGGTGGTAAGGGCATGGTATAGGGTATACAGGAACCTTCCACGGAAATAAAGAGATTTGCAAGGTTCTATATATAAATATAACAAACTTGGACGATACTAGCTGGGTACTAGGAAAAATCTGAGGTGTCAGATTTAACAAACACAGAACAGATAGGGGAGGACTCATACTAATAAAAAGGAGGATGCTGATAGGCCCCATGAAGTAGGACCAAATGAGGTATTGTCAGAAAGTGTCCAGGGAATCCAGCCTGTGGAAAATACTACAGGGCCAACCCTCGGCAGCCCTACGAGCTCAGGTAAAGCTGAGAATGATAACATAGCTGAGAATAACATATTGGGGGGGTCATGAATGCCAGCTACCAATTATTAAACAAAACAAACCCAAATGTAACAAAACACTGTCGATTATGCTTTAGTATAAGGCCTTCATATTATGATGCTATCGGGAATCCTGGGGAGCCCTCCTGCACAAATGAGAACAGCCCTCTACATTGCAGTTGGGGAAAAGACATAAGGGTAACACTAACACAAGTCACTGGAGGTGGTAGGTATGTGGGCACGGTTCCTAGTGGGAAGTGTCACCTATGTAATATCATGGAGAATGGAAAACAATCAACCAAGTGGCTAATCCCAGCCAACAACGCTAGGTGGGTTTGTTCGTGAGTCGGCGTAACTCCTTGTCTATCACTAAAACTCTTTAATGAATCTCGTGATTTTTGTATACAGGTGATAATTATACCAAGGATTCTATACCACCCTGAGGATTGTATGTATACCTAGCACACAGTGGCAAGGCATCATCTGGAAAGACGGGAACTGTTCACGGCTCTAACTTTGGCCACCCTAATAATCCTGTGGGGACCAGGGTAGCCTCATTGGTTAAACAAAATCAAGAATTTACTTCCTTATACATTGCTGTGGAGGAGGACCTGACCAAATTGAACAATCCATCTCGGCCCTGGAAAATCTATCAGGCCGTTTTCAGAGGTAGTGTTACAAAATCGTAGGGGATTAGATTTGGTATTTTTTACAACAGGACGGGCTGTGTGCAGCCCTGAAAGAGGAGTGCTATATGTATACTGATCACACTGGAGTGGTAAGAAATACAATGGCAAGACCCAGGGAAGGGTTGGGAAAAAAAAAAAGGAAACGGGAGAATGAAGCCTGACGGAGCTGGTATGAATCTTGGTTTAGTTATTCACCTTAGCTTACTACTTTATTATGAACAATAACAGGACCTTTGTTGTTATTAATAATAGCACTAACTTTTGGACCATGTATTTTTAATAAATTGATTGCGATTGTAAAGGGACGTTTAGAAGCAGCACATTTAATGCTCATACATGCCAAATACGAGCTAGTAAGTACCAGCGAAGGAATCGAGGAAACATTAGTTCTTAGTAGCCAGGCATTGCAGAGCTTCAGTGAACAAAATGAGTAACTAAAAGAAAAAGGAGGGATTGTAATACACAATAAATGTTTGTTCATTGTCTTTTGTATTATAAAAACAAGGAGTTCCGTTTGATGAGCGGGAGTTGCGAAGGCTCCCTGCTGAAGTAAGGAGCTGTATAATACTTGGCTAGACACTATGAAAATTCTTTTGCTTAATGTAACAAAAAAGAGAACCCCTCCCCTTCTCTCCTTCTGCATCTCAGTTGCCTCTTTTATTCAAAGACCCTGCTGCAAAGCTCATGTAACCATCTCCTGATAAGTTGCTAACCTAGTGTATCAACATCCTGCCTTCCTGTCTCATGCTGGGCCAACATGACCAAATATTAAAAAAAAGAAGTTGAACCACAATGCCGACGAAGACTACAGCCTTCATCTTCACAACCACCAGAGGGACAGAGACGACCCCCTAGCAACAGTGCGTGCAGTCGCAGAATATACCAGGATGTGCTGCGTAATCCCGGAATTACCAAGATATAAAAAGGGACCCTGGCGGGGGTGAGGTGCACGCCGTTGGCGGAGCCGAGACTCCCCGGCCGCCCAGCGCTGTTTTGCTTGCTGTTGCTTACTAAATAAATTCCTTTCTATTATTAATGCAATGCTTTCTGAAAATTAATTAAGGGGGCAACTTATAACAGTTACCATCAATTTTTACATGTTATCAGGAATTTTACAGTGGTCCTAGCCATGAAGCATTTTACTATAGCATCATCCAGCTCAAACATTGTGAGGAAGAGGAAGAAACATGAAACTTATCAAAGTTTCACACCAGTATGGTGGTACTTATTTCACCAGTACCTAGAAAATGAAAAGCAATTCTCTATGGGAATCTAAATAATAATTGTACCTAAGTGTATTCTTTCCATAATCTGCTGTTTGGCAAAATTCCTCCCATAGGCTCAAGCATGAGGCAGAAAATTGACAATGTACAATTCGCACTTGCCTATTTAGCAGTGGTTTTAGGCACTAATAAAAATGTCATCACCATCAGTGATGCGTTTTTCTGACAACTGAAAGACACTGAATACTCCTGTATCCCTCTCTAGTTTTTGGACTGGGAGATGAGGAGAGGGAGAGAACAGCACTGAGAAGAGTTTCACTTAAAAGGGAATAAATAAGAAGCTGGAGATTATTTGCAGTTAGCAGATAACAGAACACACTTTCAATGTAAAATAAAAACGTGAAAGACAGTTTTCAGATGATTTATAAAAACAGCACGGCAGGCTTCTGTTATCTCAGAAGAGTGATGGAAGATTCACTCAGAACACAAATCCAGAGCGTCAGCCTGTTTTCCTCATTCCTGACTCAAGCCAGAGCCTTTCCAAGCCATGTTTAAGGAGGAATTTCAGAACTTTCCGCTTCATGCACAGGCGGCGCCATGGCTCTCGGTGCTAGCGAGGTCGGAAACCCCCGGGGCGCAGCGCTGCCCGCGGGGCCAGCCGCGTGTCCGTGGTCGTTCATTTACAAACGAGGAAGGAAAAACAACACAAAGGCCGCCGGGCCCGCGCCGCCCCGCCATGGCACCGCGCCATCTTCTCTCACCTTCACGGAGCTGCTAGCGGCCATCTTAGCGCGATGAGAGAGGGGGAGAGCGGGGGCGGTGCCGCTCTCAGCCCAGTTCTACGCAGCACATCTCTCTTTACAGTAAAAAAAAAAAATCATTAGCTCTACGCTAGAGGGCAGCACCTCTCTCTTTAAATAAAAAAAATATTTTAGAGCAGCATTAGCTCTACGCTAGAGGGCAGCACCTCTCTCTTAAAAAAAAAAAAAAATAATAATAATAATAAAAAAAATATATATATATATATAATATATATATTATATATATATATATATATGTATATATATAAATATATATAAAAATATATATATATATATATATATATTTTTTTTTTCAGGTTAACTCCGCACAAGTAGATACAGCCTTCGTCTTATCTCGGAGCATTCCCTTAAGTGTTAAAAACAAAGCCGGAGTCCTACACTTAGCCGGGTCCCATCGTCAGGATGTCTCCGGCGCGTATGTCAAACATCGCTATCGTCTGGTCTGCGAGCTGTCAATTCTTGTTACATCCTCAAAGTGCAAGCTAAGTAAATGTTTTAGTGCATTTTTATAAGCTTTTACCGTAGAGGCACTTTTATTAAGTCAATGAGGACGGTGGTATGTCTAAACACCTCCTGAAGTGACAGCCAGGAGGCTTTCTTTTTAGTACTGCTAGTTGGTGTGTTGAAATGTGACTTTCCAGAAATCATAACTGCATGCACATGGAGAAATGCTGAATCGGTTAGTATGTACATACTTTTTTTTTCTTTCTTTTATTTTTTAAGCTTTGCTACAGTTCCAGAAAAGAGTATGCAACACATGTTGTGGTATAATAAAATAGTTTGCTACGAGATGCGACGTGTTGACTTGGTCTTTTTGAAAATTACCTTTCAGCCTGTCCATATTTCACCCAGATCACACACACCATGTTCCTGGAGACGCTCCGGTGTCTTTGACTTCCCCCTAAAGTTCCTCATTTTGTCAACAGGGGTTGTGAGACAACTGCACCATGAAATCCCTGGAGCATCCTGTAAAGCAGTGGCAAGAAACAGAAAATACTAGTTAGTCCTGGGTTTCCAGAAATGATAAAACAAGACCAAAAATTCCATCCGAAACTTATTCCATTCCTAATTTATACAATTTGGTACTGAGTTGAAGAGATTTGTTTTCAGTTAAAAAGCAAATAATTTAAAGGCTCAATATGGTTTAAATTGAGTGTGGTCTTTTTAATATTAGTAAATGATTCTGAAAACAAAGTTGAGCACGTTTTTGAAAAACAACAAAAACAAAAGGGGGGTTTCTTTCCGAGGTACATATATATAGAAAGTATATGTGTTTAGCTCTCCAAGCTAAATATAGCTTTAAGCAAGTTATTGCATATATATAGAAAGTACATGAGTTTAGCTCTCCAAGCTAAATATAGCTTTGAGTTAAATGCTGTATCATTCTATCTTAATAATGCCTATTTTCATATTTATGGTATTCTTCTTGTTGCCACAAATCTGTACATGTAAGAACATTCCAACAAAACATGTAACCTTCCATCTTGAGAAATATCAATTGTTTTGATGTGTTTATGCATTTTTTAACATAGCTATAAATATAAGGCATAAGGCTTTCAAAAATAGACGGTATCTTGTTAATTAGAAGTACTTAATTTTAAAAGCATGTGTCCCGTTCTTTGTTTAAAACAACTTTATCAGAGATGACTCAGCCATCCAGACATACCATTCTCACATGCCAAGAAGCACTACTTCTTTCATAATAAATGCTACATATCTGCTAATAAGTGCAAACTCAGGATGTATGTCCTGCATTGTATCATAGCTGAGAAATCTGCTGAGACCTGGGAGGCAGTTCACTGGATTGCAGAAGGATATTCCTTATAACTCAGGCTAGTGCTGAACTTGTGTCAGCTGGAGTTCATTCATGTAAGGTTTAAACATTTTATGTGTCTTCAGTGCATTACAGATCTTCATACACAGCTGAGATGTTTGTCTCAGATGCTGAAAACTTTTCACCACAGTTCAAAACATGAGATTGTATTTATGAGGAATGGACTTGGTAAAATCACAATTTAACAAAGGCAGAAAGAAGGAGATGGGTGAAGATAAACGGTAAGTTCTTTGGTGCAGCACAGTACAGTTATAGTACCGTAGTAAGACAAATTTATTGTATTTTTCTCACTGTAGTTTGGTGTTTCAGTTGAAGCTATGTGTTCTACTTTACTCTCACTGCACAGAATATTTTAGTGAATAATTTTTGGCAATTCCTCCTGTTTGATTTTAGTACGTTTTTCCTATGTTGAATTGCTTACAAAAAGTTGTTGTGCAGTACTCTTTTTTTTTTTACTACAAATATACGCAATCCACTTGCTTTTCTGCTGTATTTTTTTTCTACTTCTTTTTGAATATGAAAGCTCACTGTTTAAATAGTATGAAAGGAATAAAATATAAAAGTATAGACCCTCAAAGGGTCATCAAGCCCAACTCCTGACTCCACACTGGACCACCCAAAAATCAGGCAGTATATCTACGAGCATTGTTCAAAGGTTTCTCTGACAGGCCTGGTGCTGTGACCACTTCCCGGGGAGCCTGTTCCTGTGCCTGAAGTTTATACCGTAGCTGTCCACAGAGGTACCTAGCTTTCCAGTTTCATACTTGTGGAGTGTCAGTACTGTGTGTTTTTTACAGGAGTGTTACTCTGTATAAAGTTGTGTATATGACTTGTGTAAATCTGGACAGCAAGCAGAAAACTCTGCTCATGCTGAATTGGTAATGACTTGGATACTTAAGAAATTTTGAGCTGGAAGCATAAAAAAAGCTTTATTACATGTAGTTTTTGAAGATGTCCAGTCTGAGCCACTGTTTTTGGCACATTCCAAACAGCCCATATTCAGAGTCATAAAAAGGATATGAAACACTGTATTCTTCCAGACAAACTAAGAACTTTTACAGATTTAATACAGTGCTTATTTCAATTTAGCAGTTGACAGAACCAGCAAGGAAAATGTGTGTGTGTGTATAATATGTAAATGAAATTTTGCACTTCTTCAAGTCAACTCACTGTAAACCAGCAGCTACATCACAACAGTAATGCATTCCCATTACTTGAACCAGCTAATAACCTAGGCTGAATCTTCAG